TACAGTGCCTTTTTAAATGTTTCTGGTATAATTAATTCAGTTTTTTCTAAGTATTGTTTCATTTTTTCCTCCAACCTTGTCTATTGTTTATATAATTTTTCATAATAATCATGAATCATTTCCTTTTTCTAATCATTTTGGTAACGTCCTGTCCCTTCATCGTCTATTAATTGATAAATTGATATTTTTTCCTTTCCTTTTTTTAATCTATATGCCAAGCATCTTCCTGGTTTATTTGCATTTTCAAAAAAACAATTGTTTAAACCTCTTAATTTTTTGAGCTAAGTCCTCCTTTTCTATTAAGTTCAATTTATGTTTTTATAAATCCATTTGATTTCTTATATTCCTTTTTTTGTGGATATTTTTGCAATTCCATTTCTAACTTCTTATACTTCTCCTCCAGCTTTTTTTGAACTTGTTTTTTCTTTTTCTTTCTCTTTCCCATGTAAGTTATTGCCAGTCCTCTAATATATGCTTTAGCTGTATCCCATACATTTTGTAATGAAGTTTCTTCTTTTCTATTCTCTTTAAAAAAGAAAATCAACTCCTTTTCCATATGCTGTATAAATTCTTTTTCATTTAGAATTGATTCAATGTCCATCTTAATTTCTTCTTTGTGCCTTCCATATAATTTTCATTGGATTATGGTCTGCCCATGTGCTTGTTTCAATATTTATTTCTTGTATATTAGATAATAAGTCATCTGACATCCACATCATATCAATTCTGGACCAAGACATATACCTATTTGAATAAAATGTATATTGACTTTTCTCCTGAAATCTTCCTCGCCATGCATCTTGAATACCTAATCCTTCCATCATTTTAAAAAAGGTTTTTGGACCCTGTTTTCCTAGCTTTCTTATTAATATTTCTAGTTTTATAGTCCAAGTCCATATCCACAATTGTATTGAAATAAGCTACTATACATATGTTTTCATACTCCAATTCTATTATTTTCCTGTGTAATTTGCCATAGAAATCTTCTTGGTTATCATTTGGTGCATATATCGACATTTGAAGTATTTGTTTGTAGTTCATCGTTACCTCCACCATTAATATCCTCCCTTCCTCATCCATAAAAATTGGTTTGGCCTTTATTGCCTCCTTAATATACAGTACAATGCAGTTGTGAAATTCAAATATTTTACTACCGGTTCTGTGAGTGTGGCTTGGTGGGCGTGGTGTGGCTTGGTGGGCGTGGCAGAGAAAGGATACTGCAAAATCTCCATTCCCACCCCACTCCAGGAGAAGGATACTGCATAATCCCCATTCCCACCCCCCTCTGGGGCCAGTCAGAGGTGACATTTGCTGGTTCTCCGAACTACTCAAAATTTCGGCTACCGGTTTTCTGAACTACTCAAAATTTCCACTACTGGTTCACCAGAACCTGTCAGAACCTGCTGGATTTCACCCATAGTACAACTCCCCTCCTACTTTGATGTGTAAGCGAGGCATATAGTTTCTCCATTTTAGGATATTTCCAAAAAAAATTATGTTGTTTTTTAATGTGAACTTCCTGTAAACAAATTATATCCTGTTTTAATTTTTCCAATTTATTGAAAGTTCTTTTTCTTTTTATTGCCGAATTCAGTCCATTTATATTAATTGATGTTAATTTTATTTCTTCTTCCATGTTTACTTATATGTGAATTTTGTTGCTGTAGTTGTCCTTGTCTTTCTTAGCTCTCTTGGTTCCTTTGCCCTTGCTCCTTCTCTTAATGCTATTTCCTCCTGATCTTTAGTAGCTTCTTTTTGTTGTTTGTCTCTCTCTTCAATAAGCTCTCTCCTCTCTCAGTCTCTCCTCCTTTTGCAGTCCCAAATATTGATCATAAAGTTGTTCTGCCTTCTCTATCGAATCTAATCTGTGTCTTTGCTCCTGCCAAGTCACCAACACTCCTTTGGGTATCAGCCATCTAAAATGTATTCCTTTTTTAATTAAACATTTTGTCAAGAATGGTACTCTCTTCTCAAACTTCCCCAGACTTTGGACTATCTTGATTACCCCCAGGCCGTGGACTTCCCCCAGATTGATTAATTAATTAACTGACTGATTAGATGTATTCGCCAACAGAACTTCTTATTCTGCGAGACTCCCCCCTCTCGCAGGTGTGGCCCTCCAGTTTATCAAGGGCCTACCTTTATGATGGGCTTTGGCAGCCCAAGAGGTGGCATGCTGCAAAAAGGGGATTGAGGGGTTTTTAGGGAAACTTTTTGATAGATTTTTAAGGGATTTTAAGGGGCGGGAGGGTTGTGTGGGTTTGGGGGTTAACCCACGGGGGGAGGGGTCCGGCCCAGCTGTTAGTGGGGCCACGGAGGGTGCGGATTCGGGGGGTAAGGGGGACATCAGAGTCCATTCTGTCGAGGGCTTTTCTATCAATGTGTTGAGTGGGAGGGGCAGATATGGCGGGAGCAGGGGGCCACATCATGTGGTGGGGGCGTGCACTCGCTATCTTCGAGCAGTGGCACACCCCGGTCCCCATAGCCCTTCTCGTACCCCAGGTTGTTCAGACTCTCAGGGCCCGAGCCTTCAGCTGCTGTCGTGCAATGCCAGGTCCGTGGTAAATAAAGCCCCCCTCATTTGCGATCTTATTCAGGAGGGGGGAGCGGACCTGGCAGGTATTACGGAGACCTGGTTGGGCCATGAGGGGGGGTTTCCCCTCGTGGATATGTGCCCACCAGGTTTCTGAGCATTCCATCAGCCGAGAGCTCAGGGCAGGGGCGGGGGGGGGTGGCGGTTATTATAAAGGAAAGTCTTGATCCGAAGGAGACCACTGTTCCACAGATAGCCGGATGTGAGTCCCTTTGTGTGAAGTGGGGTCGTGGAGTACAGATGGGCTTGTTGATCACGTACCTGGCTCCCTGCCGCATGGCAACAGCCCTGCTCGAGCTGCTCAACGTCATAGCTGAGGTGGCGGTTGGTACCCCCAGACTTCTAGTCATGGGGGATTTCAACCTGCCATCTGTCGGCGAAACGTCTGAGGTGGCTCGAGAGTTCATGGCTTCAATGACGGCCATGGACCTTACTCAGTTAATTCATGACCCCACTCACACGGGTGGACACACTCTGGACTTAGTTTTTGTCTCTGGTCAGTCTGGTTTTTGACTGGTTTCTTCTCCTCTGTTGTTCCAAGGGGGGTTTTCTTAAAAAAATTCCAAAAGAAATTTCAAAAGAATAAAAGTCTCACCCAGACCGATCACACCTTCTTCGCCTCCACACTCTTACTGTGACTGCCACAGCTTCATAGCGACTCACAATGCCGCCTTCTCAGTTGTCAGTTTAGGGAGCTTTTTCCAGATCAATCAGGGAATTTGTGGATTCCCTGAGATCATTGGAATGTGCTCCCCTTGTTCACCGTCCCTACATGACAACTTCGGTCCCTAGAGACCACCCGGCAACAGAGATATCAACGGCTTCCTCAGGAGCCCCCCAGGAGCATGTTGTCTCACCGTGATGCTAGCCACACCCCTAATTAATTTCAAAGTCTTTCTATAAATCAATTTCACAAAGCCTTACATTTAAACATTTTCCAAATGCAACTCTAAAATCATGCCTTTGTTATATATTGTAAAAGTGTAAATATATTACAAAGTTGAAACAAAAAGTTTTATTTCTTTTTAAATGAACTGAAGATTAACTCACATGGAAAATGGTAAACAGTTTTGAAGGTTTTTCAATCTTAATGAAAACAGTAAAAAAGTAAAATTCCCTAGTGATTAAAAAAATTTGGTCAAAATGCATTAAAAGCTGCATTTATGGTTTGGAAAAATGATTTCCAGTTGATTATAAGCAGCTGTCGTTGCCACCTACTCACAAAAATCAGCTGTCTGGAAAATATATGGGCAAACTTCAAATCATCTTTATTCCACAGAGTTTTGGCAGTCCAAAAGTTAGATCCAGCTTTCTTTCAAATCATAATGCCCCTGCAATCCAGAAAAAATGTGTTAGTTTGCCTTGCCTCGTAGAAAGTCAATTTCTGCCTCTGTATCCTTCCTATAAATGTCCAGTTCCTTCATCTAATTCATTTAAGCTTGTTCACAAATATTTTCACCCAAGAAATAATATTTTGGAATAACTGTTCCTTTAATCTGTAATAATTTTCTTATATCAAGTCTTTCTAACCTTTAGCCAAAAATGTCTAAGTCTTTAAAACCACGTCTCTCCTTTAATCATTTGTATTCCAAACCATATAATAACTCATCAAGTGGAATTTATTTTCTGTGTTCAGAAATTCTTTCTTTAGCTATAAATAAATTATATCTGGAATTGGTTAAAAAATGAGGTTTGTGTGAACTTTGCGTCCTTCTGTGATAAAATACGGGTGGTAAGCACGGTCTCAAATCCCAGCCACTCAGCTCATTAGCCAATCACAAAAGCTTCAGTCCTTGCAGTCTGTTCATTAGAAGCAGCTTTCTGGAGTGCAAGTGGGCATGTTGTGATGCCTCCAGTTTCTGGAGAATCTTTACAGCCACAATTTGCCATCTGTATACATTCATAGGTGAAATATGCAATATACCCTGATGTATTTCTCCTCCATGAAAGAATAACCTATTCCCCACGAAAATCTTAATTAAAAGATGGTCACACTATGTCACTGTGAAAGAGAAAGTGACACTTGGAAAATTGATCCATGATGATCCTCCCTCCTATAGGAAACAGTGAAACCCAGCATTTGTCCAAGAATGCTGAGTGTGATTAGATGCATGAGAATTCAGTACTGAAGAAAGCATGAAGGATGACAGTTCAGCATGTCAGAAGCTGAGTTCAAACTACATTTAGTAAGGTAGTGCAACTGTTGCAGTGTTTAAAATCTCAGAAGCAAATATCTGATAGGAAATCAAAAGATACAATGACCTTAGCAACATACATTGTCAATATTAATTTCTCAAAGTGATCTTTTAATATATCTAGTTTATATCCAAACAATACATTTCATTTCATTCCTTTCATGTACAATTACTAAAATAGTCTCATTATTTCTTTCTTTTATTTCTTCTAGCCAATCATCCCTGTGTTCACACAAAATATTAGAGAAGGATATATAACATATGGAAATATAAGTAAGTAAAACTTTATGTATTCTCAGGAATATTATTACATTTAAGGCTATAAATCTGTGGATCTGCGTCTTTGCCTACCATGTTTCATTTCAAAGATACTGTAGCTCAATCATCAGAGCTTTGCTGGAAAACCTGATTCAGTACATTTCCCATAACTGACATGATATCATGCAATTATATGGACACAAGGCTGACCCAGAAATTACGGAAATTCAGCAAAGTTAACCATATGTTTTAAATGCATTGGTGCTTATTATAGGAAGTCTGCCTGTCTGTCCATCCATCAGCTTGCCTTCTATCAGTCTTGTGAAATCTATGTGTATGCGTTTCCTAATTCTAATTTTCTAACCCTTTTAAAATTTAAATTGGACTTTGAAAATTGTAGGACTCAAACATGGGAGCTATTTATTTTTTTTTTGTCTTCCAACTGGAAAACGTTTACTTTAGTAAGTTCCAATACTGCTACTAAAAATTGCTAATTTTTAAATATAGGATTCTAGAAAGACTAATACATAACTCTTTGCAGGTTGCTAATATGCATTTCTGAAATTTTCTAAATCTTGTACCCAGGACCAATGAGATGGTTATATGAGCAAAATCGATGGCTCGCCTTTCCATTATATGGAATGTTTCCAGTTAAACTTATAACCCATATTGGAAAACCAATTCCATATGATCCAGATGTAACTGCTGAAAAATTAGCTGAAAAAGTAAGTGTATTCTATTATAAGGGGATAAAATATACATTCAGATTCACACTTTGTTCATGAAATTATAACTCTATAGTAACAGTTATTGGAATACATTACTTAGATATGCAGAATTATAGTTGAGTGCTTGGTACCTAACTGTCAATGTAAGACTATCATCCATCCATCCATCCACCCATCCACCCATCCATCCATCCATCCATCCATCCATCCATCCATCCATCCATCCATCCCTGTTTAAACATCACTTATTCAAACTATTCAATATGGTTAGCTGCATGCTTAAATGAAAACATTCACCAAATAGCTATCATACTAAAGCCCTAAGAACTGCAGCAAACAGTTCTAGATTGTCTTTAATGGCAGCTTCACATAGAATAAATGAAAACATTTTGAGAAATGACAAAGGCAGGAGTCACTGTCTGAAAACCTAGTCCAAGAATAGGTATAGCTTTCATATCTGTTGAAGACTGTTTAGGGCACAGCTTCAATCTCCTGTTCGAGCAGAAGCTGTAGTCCAGAAGTACCCCAATTGCATACCAACTTTTTTGGATAACTGCAACCATCTCAAGATCAGTATACAGAATTTTCATGTAATCAGATGATTTTGGTATAATAATAAATCTGCCTTGCTGGGATTCAACTCTTAACTCCTTTCAGTCCTTCACAAATCCAAGCAGCAATCAAGACTTTCATGTATCTCTTGTTCAGTTTATAATGCTGATAAATATCACTGCATTAATGATATGAGTCCCCAGATTGTTGAATGACAAAATGATTCAACTCAATCACATTTATAGCATTTTATAGCCCTTAGAGCACCTTTCTATATGTCCTGCCTCTTTATTTCTCTGATCAATAGAATGGAGCATCTTTTCCTTAGAGAAAAAATGGGCTGGACACGGAATGCAAGAGGGGAGTTCAGCTGCGAGATTTATAGGGTCACAGAGTCTATAAAGCCATAATCAAATTCCTTTGGGATATGCATATTCTGAAAAACCAGATATTGTGGCATTTAAACTGAGATTCACATATTCAAGTAAATTCTGAATCCAGACAATTGTGGTTTACTCAACAAGCCACAGTTAGATGAAAGACATCCAGGTTCTATTTTGTTTTTGTTTTTAATTATACTACTGAATGCAGCCAGAGAAGTAGTTCTACACTGTATATGTACCATAGGATTTAACCCAAAGTCAAAATGTGGTTTATCTGATTATATACAGTATGGCATCAGTAGGAATAGAAAAAAATATATTTTCCATAACTTGGAATTTTTCATATTTATTTTTTATTTAATTTATTTATTGGTTCAATTTATATGCTGCCCTTCTCCGGAGACTCAGGGCGGCTTACAATGCGTTAAGCAATACATATACAGTATGTTTAAATATGTGGCCTGTTCTATAGAAGAGTCGATATCTTTTAGTTCTGAAATGTTCTCTCTATAATTCCTGAAACATAAATCTAATTATATCACCTTTTTTCTTTCTTTTCCGGAACCAAACCCACCCCATGCCACTTCACCTCTCCAACAGACTCAAAGGGCAATAGAGGCTTTACAGAACAAACACCAGAAAATCCCAGGAAGCATACTGCATGCTCTTAAACAATGCTTTGAGACACGTAACAAAGAAAAACAGTGATATAAACAACAACAATCTCTGTAGATAACATATATGTGTGTTAAGATAATATATGTGTATGTGTAGTTTTCTGTTCCCCAAGGCACTTTTGTTAAAGTAAATGAAGAAGCAAGATTGAGATGGGGAATAATATATATTTATTTCAATGTATTTAAATCCTCAGCATCAGATTAAATTTCATTTGAAAATATCAAAGCATTACATGATGATCATTACACACTCTTATGAATTATGTTTGAATAATCCTGGTCAAATCACACTTGCTAAAGAGATTAGTTGAAGAGATCACCGTTGCCCAGGGGACACCCATTTGGGGACTCGTTCATGTTTCTGGTCTCAAATGCAGGCTTGCTAACCTCCAATCCAGTGTCCTAACCATAGAACCACTGTTTTGCAAGAAATCCTGGTGAATTGCAAATGACTGGAGGAAATCTACTGTTATTCCTATCTTCAAAAAAGAAGAAAAGAAAAATGCAAGAAATATAAACCAGTTACTCTGACTTCCATTCTCTGGAAATTTTTAGACTACATACTGTGAGCATAAAGAGATTTATTATTCAACATAACTAAAAGAAACCTAACTTGTCTTATTTATTTTTTTCAGACAGTAGACTGTAAGAATTTTGTAAAGATAATATATCTTGATATTTGTACAAAGCAGCTGACAGAGTATTTCATTCTGACTTACTAATGTATAGGCTGCATAGAGAATAATTGGCTGCACTGCCAACTTGAAAATTATCCATCACTCATCAAAGTTGAGTGAAACATTGAGCAGGAACATACAAGATTTAATTGGGACCAGTGGTGGGTTATTACCGGTTCTCCCCGGTTCTTGCGAACTGGTAGTGGAAATTTTGAGTAGTTCGGAGAACTGGTAAATACCACCTCTGCCTGGCCCTACTCCCAATCTATTCGGTGATCCCAGCTGATCAGCTAGAAGGAAAAAATCAGGGTTCACTTGACAAAGAAGAGGGGGAAAAAACAAGACACCGTCGCTTTAAATTGAGAAGCCTCCCAACTGATTGGCTAGAAGGAAAAAATCAGGACTCGCTTCTCAGCTAGGAGATCACTTGGCAAAGAAGAAGGGGGGGGGGAGATGCCCTAGCTTTAAATTGACAAGCCAAGAAGCAGCTGCTGGAAGGAGGTTTTTGCTTGCAGTAGCGAAGTGACATTCAGCAGTTAGTTTCTGGGTCAGCTGAACAACAAACTGTATAAGAGGAGGCATTCTTATATGGTTCTATGTTTTTGAAGTTTTGGGGTTTGTGCAACATGGGCTTTGTGTTTCTAAAAAGGTTTGGGCAATTTCCATTGTGAAATATCCTGTCTTGAATAAGTTTTCTGCTTGCTTGTAAATGGAGTCAAACTTCTGGCTTCCACTTTCTATTATCTCTAAGCACTGGTAGCTGTTTTCTTTTTACAAAGTTTTCTTTATGGAGCTGGCAGGAATATGGAATGAGTATCAGGCAGGTTCCTTGTTAGTAGATTGATTTTTCCTTGCTGTTCCTTGCTTTTCTGGGAGCCTTTTCTTATGAGAGTAATATTTTATTTGAGGAAATGAAGAAGGGGGAGTTTGATTCCTTCCCAGAGCAGGTTAGTGGGGGGTGGGGAAGAAATGGGGATTTTGAAGTAACCTTCCCCTGGAGTGGGGAGGGAATGGAGATTTTGCAGTAACCTTTCCCTGTCACGCCTGCTATGCCACACCCAAAGCGACACCCACAGAATCAGTAGTAAAAAATGTTGAAATCCAGCACTGCATAAGTCCATCTTAATACCATCTATTCCTGGTATGTGATGTTTTGTATACATACAGAGAAAGAAGCACTTTTGTAATCTTTGACTTTTAGGATTGCTATTAAACATCAGCCATAATACTAATGACTGTTTTGAACAATATGCAGGTTGTATTACATGAATGACTATTGTATATGTGAAATTATGACTGAAATATTTCTGCACCTATATTGGTTCACACTGTCAGGAAGTTTCTCCTTAGTTTTAGGTTTCTTCTCTCTTTGTTCAGTTTCCATCCATTGCTTCTTGTTTTGCCTTCTGGTGCTTTGGAAAATACATTGCCTCCCCCTTATTTCTGGCAGCCCCTTAAAAGCCTGTTGCCTATCACACTCTTGGGCAAAGCCTGTACTACAGATCCTGTAGTACAGTGGTCTAACATCTGCTGCTTGCAATTACTGCAAGTTCAGTTGTTAATAACAACTGTTATTAACATCTGCTGCTTGCAATTACTGCAAGTTCAGACTCAAGGTTGACTCAGCCTTCCATCCTTTCTAAGGTAGGTGAAATGAGGATCCAGATTGTGGGGGCAATAAGCTGACTTTGTATAAATATACAAAAGTATGAAGGCTATTGCTTAACGCATTGTAAGCCATCCTGAGTCTCCGGAGAAGGGCGGCATATAAATTAAAGCAAAAAAAAAAAAAAGCATGTGAGCCATTTCCTCCTTTCAGTGGTCCATGAAAGTGCATCTATAGTATGTAGATAATAAAGTTGAAAAAAGGTGAACAACATTTTTACAGAACTATAGATACATTGAGGCTGGGTGTGACAAGGAATGACTGGGAGGGGAGGGGCCAGGCGAGGCACCCCTTGACATGAGTGACATTGAGTTGGCCACGCCTACCCATTCACATGACCATCAAGCCACACCCATTGTCACATGACCATCAAGCAATGTCCACAAAATAAGCCATGGCCACAGAACCGGTAGTAAAAAAATTGAGAACCCACCCCTGATTGGGACTCCTGTACTTTTCATTGTATTAATGACTTAGATCAGGGGTGTCAAACTCAATTTCATTGAGGGCCGCATAAGGGTTGTGTCTGACCTTGGGGGGCCAGGGGAGGGCATGGCCGTGGGGGCATGGCCAGCTCAACATCACTTGTGTCAGGAAGCGTCTGTGATGACCTGAGCACTCTGCCAGCCAAAATGGGCCCTCGCAAGCTGAGTCTGTTTTCAGCTGCAATGGCCTCCTGCAACCCTCTGGCAGTGAAAATGGAGCCTGGGAGATTGCGCGCAGTCCTCCCAAGCTCCATTTTCACTGCCAGAGGCACTGTGGGCGGTCCTTCACTGTTTCTAACGTGGTCCCATAGGCCAGATCTAAGAACCCTGTGGGCCAGATCCAACCCCTGGGCCTTGAGCTTGACACCACTGACTTAGATGAAGAGTGCTTGTCAAATTTACAAATAACCCAAACTGGGTAGGATAATAATACCTAGAAGAAATAAACAAATTTCACAACAATAGGGTATAGAAATAGCTGAAAATGAAATTTAGTAGATATTAATAAAAATGTATGCAATTAAGAAACAATTTACAATCACAGCATACCTAGCATAGTAATAGTAATTAATTCTAAAAATGGGGTGGGCAAATTGCACTTGGTTTCAAACTGACTCTAAGACAAGTTACTGTGTCTTAGGAAGTAACATGCAGCAGAGAGAAAGAAGAGCTGCTTAACTCATTCTTTGCATTGGTCCTCACGCAAAAAGAAACTATAGCCCAACCTACCAAAAAATATAACTGTAAAAGACAGACTAGAAATAAAAGTCAAAATAAGCAAAAAAAAAAAAAGAGTAAAGAACACCTGTCTGATCTTGATGAATACAAATCACTGGGACCTGACGGATTACATCCCAGAGTTCTAAAGGATCTGGCAGATGTCATCTCAGACCACTGTACCAAGGGTGGGTTCTACTTACCTTTACTACTGGTTTGCAGTGGGAGCATGCACATGTGCTTCTGTGTATGCGCAGATCACCCATGATGATGTCGTGACAGGTGGGCAGAGCCTCTCGCCGGTTTTACTACCGGTTCTATAGAACTGGACAGAACCAATTAATATACTCATTTGGCCATTTATGCCATGTTCTCCATATAGAAAGGTAATGGTAGGATTTGATGGGGCAAGCAGAATCTCAGATATATCCCTTGATATTGCATAAACCTGGAGATTAATGACTTCCACTTATGACTGTATGACTGTAATTTTGTTTCTTGTATCCTTACAATTTATATTGATATTGTTTCTTGATTGCTTATTTGTACCCTATGACTATCATTAAGTGTTGTACCTTATGATTCTTGATGAACATATCTTTTCTTTTATGTACACCGAGAGCATATGCACCAAGACAAATTCCTTGTGTGTCCAATCACACTTGGCCAATAAAAAATTCTATTCTGTTCTGTTCTGTTCTGTTCTGTTCTGTTCTATTCTAGATATTTGGAACTTGCCCTGCCACACCATGTTGTCCTAATACATTATAGATAATGTAAAAGTATGTATTGGGATCTAGAAAATGTTTCATGCTTCATGCTGATTACAGAAACAGTGGTTCAGAGGCCAATTCTTCAAGCCATGCCTAAACTGTCCTGGCAAGATATAGCCTTGGGAAAAGGGATTAACATAATTTAGTGCTGCACAAAAAAAATCAGTAAAATGGAATGCTATTTTATTCAAAGTGCAGAACTAAGCATAGGAAAGAATACTGACTTTCTGTAGTCCATCACAATTTTCTGCAATGGAATATAAAATTATATGTTGTTGTGGGTGCCACAGTTGTCAAAGCTAACATGATTCCAATATGTGTGGTGGTTATTTAAACTTTAGATTTATTTCTAAACTTTAATGTGAAAACTTTATCAATGGATATGTCAGATTGATTTAAGGAGGAGCTACCAGTACTGGAAGCTCAATAAGCTATGAAATTAAGGTTTCCCAGGCTGATAACAAGGATGTTTCACTACTGTTGATTGAACTACTATAATATCAGGTGATCATTTTCAAACTAGTTATTTCACTACAAATTAACTTATACTGGTTCGCTTTCAGGAACTTCTAAAATACATATGCAGTAGTTACGGTTAGAAGGAAAAAATTTTCATCCTTCAAACGTATCATTAATATTGTACATTTAATCTCTCTGTGGTGAAATTCTTTGACGCAAGGAATAAAAATGGTGATTTCCAAATGTTGTGGAAGAAGAACACATGAATATTTCATCCTACCAAATA